AAAAACCGGTCAAGATTTGCCACCTCCTTTGAAAAATTTCAAAGGGCAAACACAGCTGCCAAATGCTGGGGAATATAGATGAGGCATACTTATTTAATTTACAAAAATTTCTTTTTCACTTTAAACATGTTATATACATAGCAAATGGATATATATGTGTATATCGTATAAAGGGTATTGACCCCACATGATTCTCTTTTTAGAATATGTGCACACACTATATCTACATATGTATTTGTGTATGTATGTATATGTAATATATATATATATATAACATGTTTATAAAGATCCTGCCTACTCCCAATTTAGAGTTTAATCTTTTTTTTCCCCGTTTGTAGGAATCAGTATCTATTCAGTGCAGTTATTTGTGCAGTACATGGAAGTGATTGGGGATCTGCATTGGTTGCCTCTACGTTGGCTTCAATTTTGTGTCTTTTTCAGCCCCTCTGTCCACCCTGCTATCTTGGTAATCTTGGCTTCCGGCCCCATGGCTCATAGCTGCTCCATTTTGTCCTTGGATGTGAAGCACTTGCTCATCACCATGAGACAGTGGCTTGTTTTTGTTTCCTTGCTGATAGCTAAGTGGTGATACTCAGGAAATGTGCCAGCTGAGTTTGACCTTTGACAGGAAGCTGTTTAAATAAAATCAGATGATATGGCGGTTGTTCTTACTCCCCACGGTGTGCGCTACTATTTCCTTCTGAAATGAAACTTAAAAGGCATGTAAACACAATTTAGGAAAAAATTTTTGCACTCAATATCTGAATTTCAAATTTTAGAAATTAGAGGGTGTAGAGTGTGTACTGACTCTTGTTTTTGTAGTGTAGCCAGTAACTCAAACATCTAAGGATAATTCCAGGTCTAAGTCATGGTGGCTCTACTGATCTTTCTGTCACTAAAATAAAACTATAAAAATAATGTCATGTGGAAAAATCATAATACATATTCTACTCATTCCCTTTCACTCTATCCTTTGTTAACCCCCTACCTCATAGGTTGCATTTGTCATTTTGTTTTCTCTGATTTGATGTTTATTTCCATTGAGGGACAGAGTACAAGCCAACACCCAGTAGTTTAGTATGAAAGCTCTTTTCTCTAATTTCAACTGCCACTGGAATGTTCTTCTCAGCAAACTTCTTACTGGCTGACTTTCTTCATCTTAAGTCATTTATTTTATGATTTAACTGGTAGGTCTAATCAGTCAATCTATAAATATTTCTTGATATGGGTCACAATTGATGGTTTAGAGGAATTATTATGGAAACAAGGTACAGCTATTTTGTTGTAATAGGTTCTGATGTAATGGATTTAATTTCTTGTGTATACAAATTCAGCTACATTGTATCAGCCAGCCATGTTACTGCATAACAAAAACCCCCAAAACTTATTAGCTTTAACAACAATTTATTATTATTATAGTTTATGTGCCTTGGCTGGAGGTTAACTGATTCAGGTGGGGGACAGCTGAGTGATTTTGCTGGTTTCAGCTAGATTCACTCATGTGTAAGGCCAGTTGAGAGTTGGCTGATCTTAGCCTGGCTCATTTGGGGGTGACTCTGTTTTATGTGTCTGTCATCCTTCTCCTGGGATCAGTAGATTGTCCTGGCACATCCTTCTCATGTGATGGCAAAAGTACAAGTGTGTAAGTCCAGTCATGCAAGCACATTTCAAGACTCTACTTGTGTTAGGAAGCTAACATCCCGTTGGCCAAAGCAAGTCATGTGGCCAATCTGAGGGTAGGGGTAGTCCACCGTAGGAGGGCACTGCAAAATTACATGGCAAAGGACATGGATTGAGGGAGGAGTGAAGAACAGGAGCCACAATGCCTTTTATTACAGACATGAAGGTACTCATTGACTCTTGTTAAGTCAAGGGACTCTGAAAGAGCACCTTGAGCTGCTGGGGCTTCTATCTAATAACTACCATCGTAAGACATAAAGTAGAGCAGGCAGAAGCAGGCCATGTCCACGTGTCATCAGCCAGGGACAGTATATTCCCAGTACAGGAAATTTAGAAATAGCATACAATTTACAGAAAAAGTCACACATGTTCCGAATTATTCCTCTGAGATAGTTGTACTATTTTGGCATATTTCTATCACTTTCTTCGTTAATAGTATATAGATTTATACCCAGGTTTTTTCTTTCATATTCTATCATAAATCTTCACCTTGTTGTTAAAAAGGCTTTGTACATGTTAACATTACTGGCTGCCAAAATATCCCGTTGTATGGATGCACCAAAATTCATTAACCTTTCCCTTGCTCTTTAATGTTTTGATTATTTTCAGTGTTTTGTGATTATAAATAATGCCACAAGGAGCATATTTGTGCACAAAACTTTATCCACATGTTAAATTGTCTCCTATTGGAAAGAATTCTGGTCGGGAGTGCAGAGATCTGGGTTCTACTACTAAATTGCTGTGTGATCTAGACCCGCGTGTCAGTTTTCTCATCTATAAAATGATGTATTTGAGCTCGATGGCCTTTAAGTCTTTCTAACTCAAAAAACGTCTTTCAAGATAGAGTAATAAATTGCTAAAATAAAGCAAAGATATGGTCCTCGCTTTATAAAGACATTTAAACACACACACTACATGCTTAGTGAACCATTACTGTAGCTAATAATTGCAGTGGGAGTGTGAAGGCAACACCAGTTGTTTGTCCTCGAAAAAGCTCAGGGGAGGAGGGGCAGCTTCCTTGGCTTCTCACCGGGAGAGTTTGTCGTCTTTGAGAGAGGAAGTTTTGTTTCACAGTTCAAGCATCATCGTCTGCCCTTCAGTCTCCATCTCTGATACAGCAATGATTATGTATGTATAAAATTTCTAAATAGGGGTGTAGGACACTGAGCCTTAAGACTATAAACCATCTTGACCTATTTTATGAATGTGTGTGCTTTGAGAAAGGCTTAGCTAGACTGGAAGAACTGATTTCATTTTCTATTTACTTTTTGTATTTATTTTTGCCATTTCTTTTGTTTGCCTTGTGAGTTAAGTTTCATCACCATAATCATAACTGCATGGACAACGGATCTGGCCTTATCTCACCATTTCCTGGTAATTGCGCACAACGTTTTTCTCAGGGGTGCCTCCTTCCTGTTAATTTTAACTTATACCCAGGCTGTATTTCATCCTACTATCTCTCTTCCAGCCTCTGCCAGGGGTAAATATTGCTCAATGTGGATAGGCTGTAAGTGTTGACTTCACAAAGCAGAGACATCAACATATCAATCCTGTATGGAGAAAGTGTGGTCTGTGATCTGTCTCTCCCACCCTTCCTCGAATCTGTCCTGAGCGTGTCTTCCTTGAAGGTGCCAGAGCCTTCTAGTTCCCAAGCTCCTTTGGGGAGAGGTGCTAGAATGTTCTTTTGGCTCCTCCTGCAGTGGCTTCCCTGACCTGAGCTGGGCGCCCCTCTGGCTAGCAGAGGTCTGTGTCAGGTACAGTGTGGTCTCCCTCCTCTGGCCGCCGTCAAAAGCCCCTTTGTCTCCTCCCTTCCCCCTCAGCCAGGATGTGGGGCACACCCCGTGAATGATGGAAATTCCCCCAGCGCACCACAGCACTCAGCAGCTCTGTAGAACCAGCTCTAAAAGCAAAATGTCTTCAACCTACAGAAGTCTTGGCCGTCTTTATTTTACCTCAGGAAATAAATTAGGACTCGGATAATTAATCAAGTCACTTTTAAATTGGATTTTCCTTTGTGAATGTGAATCTAACGTTTTCCTGTGATTGAAGGAAGTTGCTTATGAAATACCATTTTAATAATTGCAAACTTTAGTGTTTAGCTTCTGTGCCCGCTCTCCCCCGATCCGTAGCAGTTCTGAATGATTTTCATGTACCTTTTCATCAGAAAACTTGAGCCTAATTCTTGAGTTTAAAATTGTTTCGTAATGTGAACGACTTTTCTCCCCTCTGCAGTAATGGTTCACTAAGCATGTAGTGTGTGTGTTTAAATGTTTTTATAAAGCAAGGAGCATATCTTTGCTTTATTTTAGCCTCATTTTAGTGAAACTGGGATCAGGTAAGGAATGCTGACTTTGGGTATCTCTGGCTTGTTTTTTTCTTGTTCTGTACCCATTTGCAACCTCCTTGTCTTTTCCCTTCCTGCCCTCCTGCCTCTTTCTCCTTGGCTGTGCTGAGGTGCTGGCTCTGAAGTAACTTGGTAAGAACCACATGGTACTGTGCAGGCTCCTAGAAGAATGTGCGTTAAATGGTAGCGGTGCTTCTGTCTGTTCTGTCTTGTGGCTTCGTTGCCATCCCCGGGCCTCGTGATAATCCTGAAAGCCAGCAGCAAGCGAAGACCCAGGCTTGCTAAGATCTGGTCCTTTTCTCTGGATGAGTATTTAGTCCATTTCAGGCAGATGTTTGTTACAAATGCTGAAGTTTCCCAGAGGGCTAAGTAAAGTTCGAGAAGTCTAGGTCAGGTTTAAGGCATAAGTGGGGTCATAGGGAAACAGAAGAGGACAAAAGGCAGGGAGTGAGAAGAAAAAAAGCTAAGAAAACAAATAACTGTCCATTGGGGAGAAGGATAGAGACCTCATAACCATTGTCTCTTTAACTCTTTCCTGAGACTTGGTTGCTCACCATTCACTTCTTATTTTTAAATGTACTTACTTATTTTTGAACAGATACCACATTCACTTGGTTTGAAAACCAAAAAGTATAGAACATTACACATTGAAATTCACTCTCCTATCCTGTTCCCCATCTACCCAGTCTTCTCTTGCTTGGCCGAGGAAGCCAAGCTTCTTTCTTTTATACAGATCCTTCCAGAGTTTCTTTTGGCATACTTATACACAAGCAAATACTAGTATAGATTCTTACTTTGCCATTCATTTCTTTATCCATTCATCTCCTCTCTCACATCCTCACTTTATTTCCTGTTATTCTACTCTCAATAATTCTTTGTTGGAGCTTTCTTTGAGGAGAAAGATCAGTGGTCACTTGTTTTACTTATGCCTGATGCCCTGAACAAATTCACATATGTGTTTGTCTTTTTCCCATAGATGAGGTGGAGAGTGAGAAATGGTACCTGTCTACAGACTTCGCATCAACAACCATCAAGACAGAACCAATTACGGATGAGCCACCCCCAGGACTTGTTCCCTCTGTCACTCTGACCATCACAGCCATCTCCACCCCTTTTGAAAAGGAGGAACCCCCTCTGGAAATAAATCCTGGGGTATACTCAATTTTCTTCCATATAAAGGGGTTGGATCAAACGATACAGATCCTCATTCGCCAGTAAGGCATTTAATCTTTTTGGAGCTAGTGGCTGTCTATGTCTAAGGATATATAACTATGTATGTATGTATGTGTATATCAAGGATATATTGATTTGGTGTCAGCATTGATTATATACTTCATTTAAAGACATTGCCTAGAAAAACTGGTAGCAAGTCTGATTTCATTTTTCCTGTGATTTCTATTACAAAATAAAAACCAGATGAATATCCATGATAAAAAAAAATTCTCCATGGGACTGATTTTAAGCCAGTGGAAAGGGAGTGGTGAAGACGACAATGCAATCTGTGGCTTACAGTGCCATGGCTGTTGGGAATGGTGGTTCCTATGTAATATTTTACTTTCCTAATGCAATGCTGAGTTGCCCTGACCCATACAGGGGTCTCCCACCTACAATTCTTATTGTATTACTGTGGAAAGCATAAGAAATTGGGAATTTCTTCCTTGCTTGATTCGACTCCTGCAGCAAGTAGAATTTAGTTTAACTTCGTCTTGTCTGTGGTATTTCCAGTGTCTGGCATTGGACCAGGATCATACTTGTACATCTTACAGATGTTGGAAGCCAGTCCTAACTTTCCTTAGGCTCAAAGCCTCAGGTTATAAACAATGCCTCCACTGACGTTCTTCAAGTCGGATCTCCTCTGAGCAAGGTGGAGTGGTCTACCTGTTCAGGACAAGGGAACACAGAAGCAGCAGAGCCACCAAGGCCTTGCTGCACATCCATTCTTGGTGCTCCTACATTCTATCTGTGTAGGAGATGAAGGATTATAGACTGAACACCTCTGCAGCTGCCCTCTGTAGTTCCTTTCTCAATAGTTACCTGAGTCTCTTTGTTGCACTGGGCTTCTAGAGCATGTATTAGTCTCCTTGCTGTACAAGATTTTACTTCAGTTGATTTTTAAGTATGTATCAGAAAGGTTAGGGTTATGGCCTTTCTCCCTGTGTGTGGGCCAGATGCCTGTTCTCCTTTCTCTGCTCTGTATTTCATGGTTAGATGTGGTCAGGCATCAGGAAGCCTGGAGAGAACGGATGGGCTTGGTTCATGTAGTTCCTACTGCAGGACAAACTGGTGGAGGCCTGTGGCCTTTTAAAAATTCACCAGACTATTTCATGATAAAATGCCCTTATATTACCGTAAAAACAGTAGCAAGAAGCACTGATATGTGAGCTCTGAGGTTTTAGTTTTAGAATTCCGAGGGTTGCATCCACTGTAATGCCAGGTTTGGCAATGAGAGACAGGTCAAGAACTAAAACGCCTCCTTGTCAAAGCAGCAGCCTGTGCTCGGTGGGCTCAGCCGGCTCCAGAGAAGCGGGGCTGCCTGGAGAGGAAGACACAGATGACAGATAGCTCCCCTGGGTGTTCTTCAGGGTTGTTATTGGTTTTTAAAAACTGTGTTGGAGGGGCCGGCCCCGTGGCGTAGCGGTTAAGCGTGCACGCTCCGCTGCGGCGGCCCAGGGTTCGCAGCTTCAGATCCCTGGCGCGCACCTACGCACAGCTTCTCAAGCCATGCTGTGGCGGCGTCCCATATAGAGTGGAGGAAGATGGGCACGGATGTTAGCCCAGGGCCAGTCTTCCTCAGCAAAAAGAGGAGGATTGGCTTCGGATGTTAGCTCAGGGCTAATCTTCCTCACACAAAAAAAACAACTATGTTTGAAATTCTTCATTTAGGTTGACTCCTCGTGCCAGACCATTATTCCCAAGATTAAGCTGGAGCCTCATGAAGTGGATCAATTCCTAAACTTCTCTCCTAAAGAAGGTGCGTCTGCTCTGCCTGCATTCTTTTGGGTTACCCAGTGTCGGGGCGCAGTCGAAGAGAACGGGGATGTGGGAGAACGTGCTGGGATTCGTCTGTACCACGGGTGTAGCTTGCTTTATGAAATAGTTCTGTTCTTAAGAACTTTGATTCTAAATACAAATTTCAAAAGCTGAATTTTATTTACCACTCTACGTACATGCTTAATTTCCAGCTAATGCTTTTACTTTACTTTTACTCCTAGCCAGGGTGATTTTTCAAAACATTGATAGACTGCTACGACTTGGGCGCTGACGCTCAAGAAAGCTGCTGCCCTGGGGCCACCCTGGTAAACCTGTGAATAAACCCAGCTCCCTGCACTGAAGTGATGACCGGGAGAGGCCAATAAACAGACCTCCACGAAGGCTTCTTGCCTGTTTAAAACAACTCTGATTTAAACCCTTTGTAAAGTGAATTCACAATTTATCTGATCAATTCAGTGTTTTTAAATGTTGATTTTGGATGACAGTAGTTGCAAGGAGCCTCCTACCTATTTGTAATATTCATGTATCTCCTGGGCTTCTTGCCATCTGTTTAGAACTAAATAATGTCGTACTTGAAGTTGTCTTACTTTCCCTTTTTCTTTCTTTGTGTCAGTTTCTTTCTGACTTCTCCCCCTTGTTCTCATATGAAGCTCATTGTTAGGAATTCTGAATGCAGACCCCTAAGTCTCATGGATGGTAGAGAAGCTCTCTCTGCCTTATTGAGTCAGATCCCCTGCACAGGCTCTGCTCTTCTTAATTCTGTCTTCAGTCATGCCATCACCCCCCTTTGTATTTATACTTTCAGTCCAGATTTAGAAGCACAGTTCATTCGTATGGTCAACAAATAAGAAATTTGTATTTGCGTTTGTCATAGAAAAGGTATGTGCTGTGCTATATACTTAATGTGTAGATGTCACATATGAACAGTTGTCATGGAAGCATAGTCTACCTTCATTCCACTAGAAAGTAACTCAGGGTTTGATTTGGGACAATTTAATTAGGGTTGGCATTTGCCTTTATTATCGGTAACGAAAGGATTAAATTTAAAAAATTAATAATATTGACTAGAATCCTTATTGGGACAGTATTTCTTTGCACTAAATGATACACATTAATGCCTTTCAGCTTTATATACTGCTTTCAAGTAATTCCTTTCGTTTTCATGACACCTGTTATTACTATCATATTGAATACTCTTGCTGTTTTAATTTATGTTGCAGTATGCTTCAGAAAGTGTCATAACTGTAACAATGAATCCCATCGTGGCTTTAGAATCTGGGTTCGCGGGAGGAGAAATGTTTCAAGAGTAAAGGAAATGGCGATCCTTTCTCATTATCCTAGACAGAGATCAGGAAATTCAATATCCTTGATGCCTCAGAGCTTCTAGGCAAAGTAGCTCGTTGTCTCCACCCCTTTCAGTAACCTAAGAGCGGCATTTCAAATGATATTTAGAAATCTGTTACTGAGGCACCTGTGGCCAGGTCAGTAGCTCTTAATAGGTAGGAAAGAGGAGATGCAAGTTTGCTTCGCTTTTCCTGTCATACCATTTCTGATTTTTGTGGGAGACCCTCTGCCTAGAAAGGAGAAAAGTATTATCTGGCCTGTGCCAAGTGAAAGGGATAGGGAGGCTCTAGGTAGGCCCTCTTGGCTGGTCCTCCCGGATGTACCAGCACAGCGTGCAGACAACGGGAGTCCCTAACAGGTTAGTCGGCTTCTGGTGTTTTTTTTTGTTTGTTTTAAACCATTGTTAAAAGGTAAATGGAGGCATATTATACATTTTGAGTTTATTTGAACAAAAATCAATTCAAATCCAGCAGCGCCATACCGGAAGTGGTTAGGGGGCTCCACCAACAGGAGCTCCGGGTGACTTTTATAGAGGAGATGCGGAAGCAAAGTAGGGAAAGGATTGTTGGCTGTAGCTTCAAGCCCAGTTGGCTGTATGTGATGGGTTGTTCTTGGGTTTTGATTTCGTAACCTCGAGGCATTGGCAGGCTGAGGTTTTGGTTTGCTTGCTTAGGCTGCCACAACATTAAGGCCTCAGTCTAATGGCCTCCGTGTTGAATTTATTTAACACCATAAGGTGCCATAGGCATTCATGGCATTGGGAAAGCCTTGGTTAACCCTCTCAGGACTCCTTTCTAGCCAAGCTCAGATTTAAGGCACACACTTACCCTCCTTAGCTGCCTGGAACTGTTGGCAATAGAAGTATGTATGATTGTTCTAGAATATTCTTTAGCTCTGAGTGCCTGTAGACACTAAAAAACCAAGGGAGCCCTTTGGCAGAGAAAAAGAGAAACATCTAGTGAAAAGTAATGTGTTAGAAAAACAGAAAGAGAGGGTTACAGTGAGAAAGAGAGAGAGAGAGAGAAAGAAGAAAAAAATGTGTGCTGTGAATGGAGGGGAGGGCAGTAGGAAGGGGGTGGCCGAGAGGGACATCAGCTGTTGTTACCTCGGATATTCAGGTGTTTCAGGAGAGAGAGCCACCTGGTTGCTGCTTGTCACCTCCAAAGGCAGCTCTGGATGGGCCATTTTTCTTAGGTCAGTTGTTGTGTCTCAGAAAGGCCTTCGCATCGACAGTCTGTGGGCTTTCTCTGTTTGATGAAGAGGAGAAGGCCGAGGCCCTTCCGTGACCCCATGCAGTTCTCTGGCTGAGCATCCCCAGGTGTGTGGGAGGCACCCAGGCACTGTGCCCAGTTTAGAGCCGCTGTGCTAAGGGCTCTTTTGTCCTCGGGGCCCCAAGAGGGGTGTGGTTGTGAAAGGCTTACCCAAGATTATGTCCCTGGGCTTAGTAACAGTGGCTGGCTTTCAAGGTATTTCAGAAAAAGGCTGTTCAGAGAAAGGAGTGAGACCCCAGAGCTCTTTTGTCAGGTTGAACTCAGAGTGGATTCTTCCTCCAGGAGCCCATCCCTGCTGCCCCGGAAATGCCTGATGGACACTGTCTGAGGCTCACAGGCCCTGGCAGAGAGTGTCTGCCTCCCCGAGGAGAGGCAAAAGATGGACTTTTAGATGCTGGAGGACTTTGCAGGAGAAAGCCCCCCCCCCCTTTATTTTCCAGTGCCTATTTATCTATCTACAGATGGATTTAGTATTTGCTGAATGAAGAATGCCTGGCATCTTGCCTGCAGGCCCTACCATGCACATTCCTCTAAAAATAAACGCGTTTTTCTCAAACCCTCATGGGCTCCCAGATTTTGCTATTTTTTTTTTTAAAGATCATATTATTAACATGGTTTACAAGTCAAACTATAGAAGCTACATGAAATGAATACAGTGAAGAGTTATGCCAACACCGTCCCTAGCTAATTTCCCCCTGCGCCCCTTAGGTCAGAATTTTATTCGTTTCTTATATATTTTCTAGTGTTTCTTTAAGCAGATACAAGCAAATATGAGTCTGTGTTCTCTTTCTCTCCTTTTTCATACAAAAGGAGGGCCACATTATACACTGTTCTGCACCTTGATTTATTTTTAACTCCCTCTTAACAATACATCTTGGAGATCTTTCCACGTCAGCGCATGGAGATTCCTTATTCTTTTGTTCAGCTGTCCCGGGTTCCGCTGTATGGATGTACGGTTGTTTGATCGCCCCTAAGTCCTGCTTTGTTGCTGTCTGACGCGTGAAATCTGTTTTCTTTTCTTCAGCCTCCGTGGACCACCTGCACTTACCACCCACCCCTCCCAGCAGCCACAGCAGCGACTCAGAGGGCAGCCTGAGCCCCAACCCGCGCCTGCACCCCTTTGGCCTGCCTCAGACCCACAGCCCGGCCAGGGCCGTGGCCCGGGCCCCCTCGGCCCTCTCCAGCTCTCCTCTCCTCACAGCGCCACATGTAAGTGTTCAACTCGCATCTCTGGGCCTGAACCCCTGTCTTTCTGTCACTCGGAGCTTCACCCACAGTGGGCGCCATGCAGGACCACTGGATTTTCATTCTTGTCAGCATGTTTTAGGTGTAACTACTAAAGCAGGTGATAATCTTAAAGAACATTTTTTACGAGCTGCCTGTAATCTCACCATGCTAACACAATTCTCTTCCTTTTCCTGTGCACACTTCCCGTTTTTATTCATGTTTATTTTACATAGCTATAGGTATGAGGAATAAAAGTGTTGTGTTGTTTTTCTCCTCAAAATTATATCACAAATATTTACCATAAATCTAGGTGGTCTTTATGACCTACGATAGGAAATAACTTATTTTTTAAATAAGCAATCTGTGATGAACTTAAAAATCTCTCTGAGATTAAACGCTTTGATGTCCAAAGCTCAAAAATACAGTTTAACCCTTTTTTGTCTGTGGTTCAACTCTTACCCCAGTGACTCAGGTTAGAAATCATGAGTCATCATTCATCCCTCACACGTATAAGGACACCATTTTCCAGAGAAAAAATAGGGATAGATAATTAACTTCTTATTGTTCTGAAGAGTTCATTGATTTCTGTGAAGATTTACAAATTATAATCAACCTTATTGTAGTATCATGTACAGCAAATTTAAATGAAATAAGATATTTAAAAATTTTGTAAGAACCATCTATCAATTAATGTAATTTTGAAAATTTGAATTCAGTCTTTCTCTGAAGATTCTAGATCTGTGGCCACATTCTCAAGGAGCGCTATTACCGAAGGCAAGGGAATTAACTCTTTCCCTGCTATCTCTGCCTTCTCAGCTGTAACTGGACTCTCCACTCCTTCGATTAGTAGAATAGTGTTCATCTTGTGTATCTGTGTCCTCCTACAATCAGTCCATTCTACGTATTCCTGGAGGAAATCCTCCCCACATCATACTCTTGCTCAACAACCGTGTTGTGTTTCCCTATTAACTGTTGGCGTCAAGCCCTAATACCTCTGCTAGGAGCGAAAGGCCCTTCACATGTGCCCCAACCTGCTGTTGCTTTGAGAACTTCTTACCTACTTGGGCAGAGTGGCTGCTTCGGTTCCTTTTCAAAATACTACCTTTTGCTGGGAATGCCCTCCTCTCTCTATGTAAATCATCCCCTTTCTTTCAGGAGGCCCCATGCAAGTTTTATCTCCTACCCTAATCCTTCTCTTAATCACACAAATTCATGTAAGTGTTCTCTTTCTCCAAATTTTTAATGCACCTTGAGTTAATATTACAGTGTAGCATTTAATGGCTCTCATCCTTTTGTGTGTGTCGATTCAGTCTCAATCTTGATCATTAGCTGCTTGAGAGATGGAGTTCATTTTGAGTCCTCCATGGCATTTAACATGGAGCTAATACATGATAGGTATGCAATTTGTTTGACTAATTATAAGCACGTCATTCTAATATGAGCTAAATGAGATGAGCTACAGTTCTCATCCTTGTTGATGATGGACAATCTGTGACTGTACCGACCAGTGACTTTCATGGAAAGTGCCTGCAGGTGTATCCCTGGGAGCCCTGGCCCCTTAGCTGTAAGTGGAGGACAAGAAATGACCCCTCATGTGTAGAAAGCATCTTGCAAAATTGCTTTTTCAGGAGAACAACCAAACTCTTTCCCACAAACAGAGCTCCAAGTGAAGCCCTCATCACTCCAAGGCCAGGAAATCCCTAGGGATGGGGGAAATGAATTCTGTGCTTTAATTTTGACTTTTTAGCTAGTGGGGTACTTTCTGGGAAGTAGTGGGTGGAGGTTTCTTTACCTTTTCCCTTGAATTACGAACCCTGAGTTATAACGCTCACACAAGAGTGTCTTCTCCGTCTTTGCTTCCACTTTAAAATATCCGTTTCTCACCAAAAACAAGTGGGCATCCTTTTCTCTCAGCCATTTGCGAGGTATTATAACAGATTCTCCTCACCCCCAGGGGGTGATTCCTCAGTGTCCTGGATGTTTTTCTCTGACTCTTTTCTGCTCCTTGGTCTGCACAGAAACTGCAGGGATCAGGCCCCCTGGTCCTGACAGAGGAGGAGAAGAGGACCCTGATCGCTGAGGGCTATCCCATCCCCACCAAACTGCCCCTAACAAAATCAGAGGAGAAGGCCCTGAAGAAAATCCGGAGGAAAATCAAGAATAAGGTGGGTCATTCAAATCTAGGCACCTCTGTGAGCAGAGATGGTGAGCAGAACCAAGCCCACGTGCTCTCCCTCCCTTCCCAATGGCCAACACCGGCCCAGGCCAAGGTGGGGACCAAGGCTTGCCCCTGTCTCCCTCCAGCCCCTCCATCCATCCTCTAGGCCAATGGACTCCCAAATCGGGTGTGCACCCTCCTTGGTGCCCAAGATAATCCATTCAGGGGTCGGGGGGAAAATATTAGAACTCCCACTTAACATTTATTTTTTTACCTCAGCCGTTTAAATTTCTGTTTTATGAAGTGCACAGTATTTCCCTCTAGTTGGCTTGTATATAATTTATAAATAAATAAATATAAATACATTGCAGGTGTTTGCTTAATTTTTTTTTCTTGATAGTGGTTTTTGATTAAAAAAAAAATTCTGTAGACTGCTGTTCTATACCTGGGTCCAGCAGTCTCCTAGTTCTAGGCCCCTGCAGTGTGAATCAGGGCTAGTGAGGCCCAGGGGCATGGCTAAGGCATGGGCAGAGCAGGAGGGAGGAGGCAAAGAGAGGAAGAAGGAAAGAGCCTAGTTATAACTCTTTATCCACGTGCAGAAGCAGCGGGGAGTTTATACGTGGCCAAGCCGAACTGTCTTACTTTGTTTATTATAGCTAAACCAACGGAGGTCCGTGGAGTTGAAATCATTTCTGTAAGACCATAAGATGGTTTATGACCTGTGTGTTCTGTTCTGACTCCTGGCCCACTGTCCCTCCCACTGGGGGCTAGTTTGTTGGAAAGCATGAGAACATAGGCTGGTTGAAACCAGAGAGGACAGAAGAAGTGATTAGTAGATGAAACAGCAGGTTAAATAAATAAGGGGTGGTCACAGAAGTGAGTGGGGCTTCTGTGATGTCTGTGCTGTCGGCCTCCTGTCTTGCATTTGCACATAACTGGTTTACTGATATAGCTGGAACTTAATCCTTTTTTCTCCCCTTAAATCTCAGATTTCTGCCCAGGAAAGTAGGAGAAAGAAGAAAGAATACATGGACAGCTTGGAGAAAAAGTAAGCCTCCTGCCAAACTGGTTGTGCTTATTGGGCTATATACATAGAGAAATGTGAGTGTGCAGAGCATCTGTTTTCCACGAGAAGGAGGTAAAGTCTTCATTCTGGCTGCCACGAAAGCCCGTTGGTTTATCAACTATGTTTTGCCTGCCGCCTAGTGGTTTTTAGAGGGGAAAGCTTATAAGTACGGCAAGAAGTGAAAAATACACTCAGTCTTAGGATCCTTGAGTCCTTGAGGGCTTCCTTTCAAGCAAGTACAAATATTAACATTCGGGCACATTCCTGGAACTCCTCAGAGGAGAGGCACTGTTTCGGCCAAAAGGAGCAGTGCTAATTAATCAGTTCCCACTGGCCACACTCCCTTGCTGCCGAGAATAAACAACCAGGGAATGAAATAAGTCAGGTGGTGTTCTTTATTTTCTGTCCACTATAGCTCATGCTATAGGCGAGTGACTTTTACAAAAAACACTTGAAGGCACCTTTTGTTCTTCTGAAGAGCCTGGGATATCAGGAGGGCTGTTAGAAAAATATGAATTCAATTCAATTTTGTACTAGCCCTAGAAAACAGTTCTCCAGCTGACCAACTAATATCATTTTAAGATGGGAATGTGGCCCCAGACGCAGAAATGAGTCTTCATGTGTATCTGGGGAAAGGAGTGGTCGATGGATCCTGGCTGGTTCTTGAAGTTCCTACTGTAAGTTAGTGCTTCTACCTCCTGATTTAGAGTTTGGTAATTTAGCACTTAGTAGTCCCATTTGGTTCCATTTTCTGTAGGCATTCAGGGTCAAGATGTTTCCCTGAAAATCTCTTTATTGCCTCTTTGGGGCATGCATGCTCTGGGACCCAGATTCCTTGTCGTGAAGTCCTGGGTTCTTGTCCTCCCCTCTCGCCCTGCCCCAAGCCCCATGGCTTCCTATCAGTCCTTCTGGCCAAGAGTACAGCTCATGGCACCCAGACCCCTGTAGTATGGAGGGAGAAGTGTGATGGGCGTTGAGAATGGTGGGGAAGGGGTGAGAGAAAGCAAGGTGGGAACAGCCTAAAAGAGTTTATGTTGTGCACCATCCGTGTTCATTTTCCACTATCGAGGCACTTGTTACTCAGCTCTCTCTATTTTTTTTCTTTTGTTTCCTTACTCTTCTCCCCAACTCAGGTTGGCCAAGCTCTCTCCTTCGCCTCCCCAGGGTAACTAATTCCCTGTCTTCTTTCTCTGTCTCCATCTACCTCCACCCTAGCTCCTGGCTTAGTGTTTGCTCTTCTGATAAAACTAATTTTCTTCTTTTTCTCTCCTCTGTAGGGTGGAGTCTTGTTCAACTGAGAACTTGGAGCTTCGGAAGAAGGTAGAGGTTCTGGAGAATACCAATAGGTAAGTGTTGCTGGAGTGAGGAGCTGATGGAACTGCCTCATGGAAGGTGGGGAAGGAGTTGGGCAGATCCAGGACCAGAACTGGAAGGAAAACGGAGGAGATCACAGGATGACCATACCCCACCTACCTGTTCCTGACATACACACATACACACACGCATATACACACTCACACACACGCATGTTTTTTACTTTCCTAAAAGATATTAGATTGATGAAGAGGCTGATCCTGACAAGGACTATTATAAGGGGGTTAAGGAAGAGGCTTGGAGGAAAATAAAGTCAATAAGTTTGGTTCTCCTGAAAATGCCATCAAACTTTAGAGGTGGAGAAAGAGGCACTGGCCGCTTGACTGTCCCCCAATTTGGGTAAGAAATGGTGTTCATTAGTGAAAAAGAAAGAGAAAATCAGTTTGTTTTTTTAATTACTGTTCTAAAAATTAATTAGTTAATTAATTAATTACATTTCAAACCCATTTTGAAAAATAACTGTAGGACAGAGTGAGTTAATGAGTTCCTCCAGCATGTCCTGTGCCAGGTGCTGTTTTCAGCACTTTACAGATATTAACTCGTTTAACCTTCTGACAGCTCTATGAGGTGGTCCTGTGACCATCCCCTTCACACCCCCTTCTGAGGCAGCTGAGACTCAGAAAGTTTAGGTCATTTGCCCATGGTCACACAGTAAATGCTAGAGCTGCATTTGAATGCAGGCAATCTGGCTCTGGAGCCTCAGTATAGGAGAAGCATCAGACAGCCCTGGTGGGCTAGAGGTTAAGATTCAGTGCTCTCACCACCACAGCCCGGGTTTGTTTCCCAGTCAGGGAACCACACCACCCGTCCATTGGTTGTCATAGTGTGATGGTTGCATGTTGCTATGATGCTGAGAGCTACGCCACCGATGTCACCCATGGTGGACGGGTTTCATCTTCCAAACTAAGACAGACTGGGAAGAAGGACCTGGCCACCCACTTAACCACTTCCCCCCAAAATTGGCCATGAAAACCCCATGACTAGCAGTGGAGCATTGTCTGATATAGCACTGGAAGGTGAGAGGGTGGTGCAAAAAAGACTAGGCAGGGTTCTGTTCTGCTGTCCACAATAAATATTGAGCTTTATCCCTGGGTCATATGCGAGAGAAAGGGGTTAAGGTATGGGGTTAAGAAACTGGAGTTGGGGAGCATTTGTCCAGAATTTGTGTGTTTGTGTGTATACACGGTGCATACCTATGCTTTGAAAAGTAAAGTATTCGGGGGGCTGGCCCTGTGGCGCAGCAGTTAAGTGTGCGCGCTCCGCTGCTGGCGGCCTGGGTTCAGATCCTGGGCGCGCATCAATGCACTGCTTGTCAGGCCATGCTGTGGCGGCGTCCCATATAAAGTGGAGGAAGATGGGCACAGATGTTAGCCCAGGGCCAGTCTTCCTCAGCAAAAAGAGGAGGATTGGCACGGATGTTAGCTCAGGGCTGATCTTCCTCACCGAAAAAAAAAAGGAAAGTAGTCGTTAGTTGGGGGGTCCTGTTGCTCTTAGTTGTTATAGATCTGATAATTCAAGCAGAGAAAAATTGACTTTTAGGTAAGCAAAATATTAATTAATCATTTAAAGGCTTAGCTTTAATGCCTAAAAATTTTGCAAATGTTAACAGTTCAAATTAAATCTGTTTGCGTGTCTTTGGATAATAACATTAAATTTGGCTCCCATTTCCTAAATATTCATGGTTTGTTGCTCAAAGAACAGGCTAATCTAGTCATAAGTTAAAACTAGCATCAGTGGGAATATTGGACGTTGTGACCCCACTGAATTTCCCTGTGCATTTCTGGGAACGTGAGCTCATATAGCAGGTCCAGGGCAGTCTCCTCAAGTGCCCTGTAGACAGACTGCAGGATGAAATAACTGTCATCAGCTCCATGTGGTATCACCTTGGTCCCTTGAGACAGAGGAGACGCTTTCCAGTACCACTTTAGCATTCTGGTTTCACGGTCGCCTTTGGCCGTGAGTCTCCTGAGGCTTCCTCCCTTCTTATCTCCACCTTCACTCCTGCCAGTGTTTCTCTGGGTCCTGAACCCCTGCCAGAGTTTGTACCCATCTCTTTAGCATCCTGAGCAGACAGGAGTTCTCACGCCCATCCTAGCACTTGCTGCCGTGGAAGCCCTGTGTTCATGAGTGGGACAAATCCGGGTCATGATTTGGTGAAAAGAGGAAGAGGAATCTATCCAAGATAACTGTGGAGTTTGGTCCATGTTTGGTCTTGTCTAGGGACTCCAAGTGTCAGGTCTTCCCACAGCCACAAGGGGGCAGCAGAGGCACAGCACGGGCTATGCTGGGGAGCCGTGGGCGCTTGAGATGAAGGTCTCTCCCCTCTCCAGGCCGACAGTGCTGTATCATATTTTTTGAACTTAAAAAAAAAACCCCAAAAACCCACACATGGCCCATTGTAGAAAAAATTAGAAAATATATTTAAAAAAGAAAAAAAATTACCATCTTTTCATCCAGAGATATGTTTACATTTTGGAATATTTTATATGTATATATTTATATTGTACATACTCTTTTGTTAAGAAATTTTTCCATTTAACAAAACATGCTGGCCATATTTTCATATCAATAAATATGTGTATACAGAATCTTCATTTCTATCAAATTTTGGTAAAGAGCTCTCATCTGAGGAACATTGACATAAGTCTCATCTGAATCTGTGTAACAACAATCCATGTTTTGTCAATTGTTTTTATCTCTTTAAATAATGGCCATAGATATTTTAATATAATATTAGTTATTATGCCATATGAGGTGTGGGAACCTATGACCTATTTGAGCTTCGGGTCAGTGTTATTTTACGTTCTTCTCGTGATGATTTTCCTTCTGTTCTTTACTGACGGTGTGGGCCATTTCTCCAGTCGTGTAGCCTTCCAGAACCTCCATTGAAAAAACAAAGTCTACCTCATGATATTGATACTTTGCTCTGTCCCTTGACTGTCAGGAGCCTCCACCGTGGTTCCCCCAGAGGCCCTGTGTGTGTTCTCCTCCCATTTCTTCTCTCTCATCAAAGCTTACCTCTCCTGGACAACTCTTTTATGGTAGTAATGGCTGACAATGGATTAATCTGTAATCTTCCCACAGAAATCTTATCAGGGAGCTCCTAGGAGTTCTCACAACCCAGGAGCAGCTTTTAATGTGTTTTGGCTTGAGAGATCAAGAAATAAAAGCAGAGCTGCTCTTGTTGGGGAAGCTCCTCTTCTTCCTTTCTCCTCTTGTTCCTTGCTGAGGCCTCCCCTTGCTCAGAGGACACCCCGCTAGCCAAAGTGACTGTCATGTAAACCTTGGCAATCTCCTGCCCGAACCAGTCAAGAGGAGTTGGTGTTTTGGGTGTGTGGTAAGTGGAGACTTTTGGACCCTTTACTCACGTCACATTGTGTAAGTGACCCAGTGTTTGCACTAAGTTCAGGGCTCGGTCTAATGAACATACACCTGTGTTTGTGTTCCTTTTCACGCTTCTTGTATTATTATCCTTTGGAGGTAGCTGGACAGAGGTAGGAGTACGTGAACAGGGTCCTGGGAGACTGGAAGTGGGGTGGGACACCTTGGGTGCCATTGTTTCCTGTGGCATGACATGGCAGGAAAGGCGAGTGGGTGTTTCATCATTGACCAAATTAAAGAAGAATTATACCTCTTTGCATTTTACCACTTCTGTGCTACACCCCACAAGCGACTTTTCCATCCAGACGAAAATGTGTCCTCAGAAATGAGTCAGTCCTGAATCTTTCAGTTTATACTGGCCTCAGCAGCAACCACCTAGTGTATTGTTGGCTTCTAGGTGAAAAGACCCTTTTACCTGAGCTCAGGAAGCTGGAAGAGGATTGGGACAGGAGAGATGAAGAAGTCCTCTTAACCCTTCTGCAGCCTGACCCCAGGAGCCTCGGAGCAGAGCCGAAACAGTGTGAAGGCACCTTCACGCTTCCTTTGCTGAGGCCATCCGCTAATTGCGTGCCATCGGGAAATGTGTAAGATGAGAGAGAGATGGTTTCTCAGGGGGCCCCCCGTATGCTCAATCAGGAAATACATTTTCACTTAAAAGTCCAAGCAAGGCCGTGTGTGGCTGCTGGAGGATCCTCCTGGCTTTCTTATGCTTCTCATTCACCTCTCTAAGCTACAAGCTCTCTGTGTGGCCCTACGCTGGTCTCATTCCTGAGAAATCCTGTCTTTCTCCTCTTATTCTAAACAAGTGATGCACATCCACTGCCCAGCCCAGCAGTTTTAGGTGTTTGCGGCTCAGTTTCCTCCACTCATTTCTTATTTTACTCTCATGCCTCTGCAGGGCAGTGAGCGACAGGCCCCCTCCTCCAGCCCTGACTTGTAGAATCGTAGGGGCGTTTAGACTTGAAATGCTCTTTAGAGATCATCTTATTTAACTGCTCATCACTTTATTTTATAGAAGAGGAAACTGAGGCCTGGTGAGGTTAAGGTCATCCAAGCATTTAGAGGTAGAGCAGGACTAGAACTCAGCCACTTAATTTTTAAATTAAGTCCTTAACTTGATTTCTCTTCTGCTGTGCCCCTTTCTCCTTTGAGGACCACTCCCTTTCCCCAGCACAGGGCCAGTGTTAGACCTGAGCAACAGGGCTTGCTTTGGACCCAGTGTTTTAGAGGATGCTGCTCTAGCTTTCCTCTAGCACACCCCTCTCCGTGGGGTGAGTAGTCAGCAGGAGCAAGGGGATGTGTCTATCTAGAGCTCTCACTCTGCCCCTTCTAGATCATTCCCTGGTACCTGGGATCCTGGAATTCCCTGCCCAAATGGCCTTAACCCATTTCCAAGGCCTGTGTAGATCTCTACCGCAAGTCTGTTCTCCAAAGGGTAGACCAGGCTCTTAAGCTGATGGGGTGGCCAAAGACAGCTCTTTGTGAGCACTGTATATGGAATTTGAACCTTGGCAAGTGTGTGCCTGAAACCCTGTACAGTGTGTTTGATCTGGGATTCCATTTGATCTTATTTACAGAAGACATGAGATTC